AAAATTTTAATATTTTGTTTACCCTAAATCAGAACTTTGTAAAATAGAAAGTCCATGTTCTGAATATATTTTTTAATAAAAGAGTTCATTTATATAAAAGGTTACTGGTTAAACAAAGGCAAATTACATTTCAGACAGTTCATGGGGTTCTCTGTTTCTGGAGAGAAGCATGATGTGGATGTTCTATGATGATGGCACGCTTGTATTATCAAAATCAAATGATGCAGCTAGAGCAGCCAAAAATAGGAAATTTAGAGACTCATCAAATGAGAAGTAATAAAGCAAAATTACTTAGGACCATAAACCGACTATGACTCTTTTGCGCCACTCGCTAGTACAAAGGAACCATGATCCAGACACTGAAGCTTAGCAGGGAATTTCCTTGTGAGGGTTGCAATTTCTGATGACACATCTGAGCATTGGGCCCCCACGACTCCAACCAATCCTGCATAAGGAGAATGCTGCAGGCAGGGAGAGAGCATGGTAAACTTTAGGACTCTATGCCAGGCACTGAACTTGGTGAACGCAAGAGCAGCTGTGAGCATTATCAGGAAGGGCCCCAACTCTGAAAATCAGGGATCCAGTTCTGGCTCCTTGATGTCCAAGTTCTGTCACCGGAGAAAATCTGCCCCCTTAGATTTCTTCAAAACTTCAGAAAAGGTTTTGTTTAATGTCAGTATTCAGTGAAACCCTTGCCCAATCCATCGATTATCTCAGACTAATTCCCTTAAGTCTCCTTGCTTCTCTTCTCTCCCCTCTAGTCTAATCAGCCCATGTAAAAGTCATCTTCTTTTCCTGCCACTCTGACCTTGACAAACGTTCCCCCCCCTCCCCCTCCTTGAATCTCGTTATGGGCTTCTTATCTTTTACTGCTTCTGTGTCAGACTCCTTGTCCTCACCTTCAAGGCCGTAAGAATTATGTTCTTGCCTCTCCTTACATCTGTGTGCTTTTAGAGTGCTGTACAAATGCTTAAACAAATAATTATAATCATTATAATTAAGTAATTACATGTTTTGGTAAAAGATTTAGCTGAACCAACACTGCTTAGTACTTAGTATTCTGCTGATATAAATCTGCCAAACAAATGTCATTGTTCATAAGAACTTGGCAAACCTTACTGAGATAATGAACATGTAGCACTATAGCAGTCTTCATTTTTAAGAATGTATTTAATGAGTCGAAAGCTTACTGCATGCCATTTGTCCAGTGATTACACAAGCTCCAACATTCTCCTAAATCTGGCAAAACCTTTTAAATCTTTATCCATATTGGTATATATAAATTGTCCGTATTGGTATAACATGTGCCATATGTTTATTTTAAAATATCTTAAACCCATATCTATCAAGTCTCAATACTGAAGTTTCATTTTCTACTATTTAAGTCATTACATTTTTTAATCTCAAAATCTGAATCCATTTTTATATTTCCTGTAACCTAGGGTGCAATTCAACTTCCCCTGAAGTCATTCATGGGCAACTTCATTGACTTTAGCAGGAACTGGATCTGGTCCCTAGTTTCTTTATTTGGACCATTAACATCATGGAACCACACTGATTCTGTGAATTTATTGACATGACATGTGCTATTAACTGGAGAGCATGTTTATTGTACTTGAGAAAATTAGATGGAAGGGAACTAGGAGGATACAGAAGTTCTCTGAAAATACAAAAAGGGTATGTAATTAATAAATAAGGAGAAGCTATCAAAAATAGAGTCACAGGATTGAGCTGGTAAGGTTCCTCAGGAAACACAACTGTGTGTTTTGCCATTTATCTGCTCAGCATACATAATTTAGGTAATAAGTAATAATAATCCTGCAAAAGGTTGTTCAAATGCAGTCATTAACTAGAAAGCAGGAAAAGGCTATGTTCCGAAGCAAATGACATGTGCAGACAAGTAAAATGTGTATACATCAGGCAATACCAAATAAAGCTGCAAAATGAAAACAATCAGGAAAGTGGAGGTGGTGTGGGTATGCTCGTACAGTATAACTTCAGAGGCAAGAATTCTATTGGGATATCAAAATCTTTGATTATATCCATCTTTTCCGTGAAGGAAAAATAAAATGGACTATTCTGGTTAAGACACTGCACAGCTCTCAATTATGCACAAAATTAACAATTTTTTTCTTGCATGCTGGTTTGAAGGTTTAACTAGTCTGTTTTTTATCTAATTTTAGTAAGAATCTGAAATAACTTTATTGAAGTCCATGGAGTTACACACTGCATAACTATGGAAGGAAGAGAAAAATGAGGCCCAAAGTTCTGGAAAAATTCACCATTGACCAACATTATGCACACCCTAGGCATCTTCCTTGATTCCATTGATATTGGATATCTAAATTTCAATAGCAGAAAAAAATCCCACTACATCTCTTTTCCTCTTCAATTCAATAGGAGACTATACCCCATCGTGCCATATTTAAAGATGAACCATGCATGAAGACCAGTTCTGCCTCTCCATCAACAACAAAAAGACATATAGCTAGAGTCCTCATGAACAATGAAACTTCCTCAATGGTCAAACAAGAAGATGAGAATATTGTGAACAGGACATATGGTCTTCTCAGCAGCTGACCCATGACTGGTGAAATCTATTCCAGAAGAGATAGGATCTTAACATCTTACCAACATCAACACAAAGTACAAGAACCACCTCTTCTCCATTCCCTGTTAAATACAAAATAAAGACAAAGCCATCTGCCCAATATTGCCATTTTAAAAAAGGAGCAAAGCCAAAACCAATCTACGTATGTGCGAAGATCCCTGATTGGCTGCAAATACATTAATAAAGCATCTAAATGCTATAGCGATAAGCATAGGATAGACCAGTTGGATACAGCAGAGGGAGCTGCTACCAGTCCTTCCAACTCTTTCACTGATTCACACAACTATCTTCTGAAGGGTTAGGATTTTTTTCCCTTGATTTTATTGAGTGAATCTTGTGGGATGGAAGGCAAGCATTTTGGGTGGTAACAGACCATATTCATTGAGGGACCTGGACAAGGGACTTGCAGGGGGACAAGAAATGTTTGGTTTGGGTAGATAGAAAAAAAACCAACAAATTAACAAAATACACACTTAAAACATTATTTGAATATTTTGCTTGCATGTTATTAGTCATCTAATATTGACTGTCTGATCTATTTATAGACTGTGTTAAAAGCTTCATGTAAAGCATCCATATACCAGCAACCACTGGCAGTGTACAACTTGTACTGGTCCTAGAAAAAAATCCCTAAATAATGCTGTACATTCTTGAGTGTCATCTGCAGGCACCTTCTATGCTAACTAACTATACATATATACAAACATCTCTTTCACAGAGTGTTCTTTTAATAGCCCACAAGCTCCTTAGGGCAATGGCCGTGCATTTGTTATTTGTTTATACAGCATTTAACATCATAATGGTTCCCTGACTATGACTGGAACCTTTGGGCACTTAACACTATATAGATAATCGCACACAAAAAGAACATTTTTATGGTTGCAAAGTCAAGTACCTAAAAGTATGAAATATCAGAATTAAGGTTCCTTGTACAATTTTAATTTGCCTCCTTTGTGTGTATGCATGATGATACATACTTTCATTACCTGATCACATGCTATTTTTTCCACAGAGCCTCATCTCATCCAGTCAGCATGATTGGCCTGCTCTGGGAATTAATCAGGGTTTTGAAATGAAGGAGACTTGTCTGTAGCATCACTTCCTCATTAGTTGTAGAAGGAGATTACAGAAAGAGAAAGGATGGTCTCATGGTTAATGCAGTTGAATGCTGTTCTTGAAAAACTAAATTCTATCTTTGTCCCGGCCACAGAGTTCCTAAATGGTGGTAGGCAAGTTGCTTAAACCAAACATTTCACAGGGGTTCACTAACCAAACATTCCTCATTTTTTGGGTGTGTCACTTGAGAACTTAGGGTACATCTGCACAGTAGTGTTATTTCAGAGTAACTGACTTTATTCCGAAATAACATAGTTAACATAGCATCTACTCTACAAGCCTTTATTTCAAAATAATGTCGAGCTAGAGGACTTCTTACTCTGATTCATGGTAACCCTCATTTCACAAGGAGTTCTTCCTTTGGCTTCCTGCTGTGCAGACAGTGCCAAAAGCCAAATTAAGCTATTTCAACATAAGCTACGCAATTGATGTAGCTGAAGTTGCGTAGTTTAATTCGACTTTAGCCCTTCTGTGTAGATGTACTCTTAGGATCTGCTTTGCCAAAATGTTGAGCACTCATCATTGCAGCTGAAGTCACTGGGAGCAGTGCTTTGAACTTCTAGCATGCTATATAATACTAAGTATTCTCAAACATCAGATTTTAGATATCTCAAACTATACACCCCAAATTCTGAAATCTTTTGACTTAATCCCTTTGATCCTCAGTTATTGTAACATAGGGACAGTCATACTTCTCATCAAAATAGGGCTGTTGTGAAAAGAAATTAATATTTGTGACAAGCACGATAGAAAAGCCCTTAAAGAAATTAATAATCCTGTGCTCTGAAGACAATTTGAATAGTGTGCAGTAAAATAAGGCCTGGGCCACACATTACACAACATGGAGGAAAAAAATATTTACAGTTGCTCCATAAGTTAGCACTGCCCACCCTGCCCAATGAAATTTTATAATGTGTCCATGGACATTTGTCACAGCTCTAGCCTGTTGGTTCTCAAACTGAGAGCCATAATATGGTTATGTGGGGGACTTGAGCTATAAGCCGGAAGCCCAGCAGGCCCCAAGCACGTCCAGCCCTACTCCACCTCCAAAGAAAGGGTGCTAAATAGACGTTTGCCCAGGGCACTATTTTTTTTTTATGCCCTGGCTCTGGGACTGTGATGACATCAGAGAGCTTGATTGTTCAGCACTGAAGAAGTTCTTCATTATTTAACACTCAAGAATACCTTGACTGCTAAAAAAAACCCACTGAAAAGTAAAAGTATCTTGAATCTTACATTAAACATGATTTCAGCTGCATTGTAATGCATCATTGAAAAATTTTAATGCATCATTTGCCATTTGCCATATTTTGTCCACTGGATCAAAGAAGTCATGCAAACTGCAGCAATATCTCAATGTGGATTTTTCAAATGCAGTGAAGAAACAACAAAGTCAAATTTGATGCAAATAAAAGCCTCCTATGTTATGTCACCACAAATCGCCTGTACCAAAATACTACCTACAAAAGATGAGGAACTTGTTCTATCACCATGCAAAGATACAGTGTCACTTATGCTTGGCAAGATGCCACCAAAAGCTTAATATACCTTCTATGTTGAATGACACTGTGAAATGCAGAATGTGTGAGATGACTGAAAATATCAAAAACTAAGTCATGCACAAAATTAAACACTCTGCTTTCAGTATACTCAGCCTGCGACTTAATGAAACTACTAACATTACTAACTGTGCAAAATTGATAGTGTTTGTGTGGTAGGTTAATGCCAGGGATGTGAAGGATGTGTTTTGTTCTGTGAACAACTTGAAACAACCTCAACAGCATAGGCCATTTCCAATAAAGTGAATGCCTTTTCAAAAGGCAATGAACTTGAGTAGGAAAATCTTTGTTCTATCTGCACAAATGGTGTTCCAGTCATGAAGGCTGCATGGTCTGGCTTTCAGCAGAAAATAAAGTGCATATCACCTGATGTGACTGTCGCTCATTGTGGAATTCAATATCAAACTCTAGCAGTAAAGACATTACCAATGTGCCTTAATGCTCTGGTGGATGATGAGTGGTCAACTACATTAAAGTATATCCTCTGAATAGTCATCTCTTTGGAGAGCTCTACAACAAAATAGGCAGTGAATACAAAGTTCTGTTTTTCCACACTTGAGTCCAATGGCTTTCTAGGGGATGCACTTTAAAGTGTGTTTTTATACTTCATGAAGAGGTAGTGGAGGTTTTCCTGCAAAAAGAGAAATGAGAGCTGAACAAAAAGTTTAGTGATGAGAAATGGTTTCTCTGCTTGGTGCACCTAGTTCCATGGGTGGCTGGTATGCTAGGCGGGGGTAGGTATTGCCTTCCCAAACTGCCAGCCTGGCCCCGCCCACACTCTGTGCCCAGCATCCACCCTCCCAGTGCTCCTGGCTGGGGAGGCTGGAGCCACACACTGACCACCCTCCCTGTGCTTCAGTCCCAGGGAGGCTGGTGCTGCGTGTCCTCCCTCCCTGCCCATGCTCCAGGACCAGGGAGGCTGGGGATGTATGTCCTCCTCCTGCTCCATGCTCCAGGGCTGAGAAGGTTGGGGATATATGTCGCCTGCCTTCCCTGTACTCCAGCCAGGGAGGCTGAGGCATATGCTCCTGCCCTCCTCCTCTCCCTGTGGTGGGGGTGGGGAGGGAACAGGGAGGTGGCTTGCCTCCCCCTGCCCTACCTTCACTGACCTCCCATGCCTAGTTCATATCTTTGATAGCCTTGACGTCCTTAGTTTGTCACTTCAATGAAAACATCCAAAAGTTAATAAACCTGATTAATAAAATCAGAGCCTTCTGGATTAAGTTGGACCTTTGGGCTATGTCTAGACTGCAAGCCTCTTTCGAAAGAGAGCGTCTAGACTGCACGCGGAACTTTCGAAAGAGCAAGCCGCTTTTTCGAAAGA